GCGCCCCCTTCCGGCCCCCCCCCCCGTCTCCTCCCTGTCCCCCTTCCCCGCCCCCTCCCCTCCCCTCTCCCCTCCCCCCCCGCCCCCGCCCCGGCCCCCGCCCCGGCCAGCCCCGCCCAAGTAATGATGCAGGTCACAAGAATTTCTAATAATGATACAACGGGAAGCGGCTGCCGTCGTGATCTTAGTAAGCGCCTGCTGTGTGCCCGGCACGCCAAAGAACAGTTCCCAAGACCATGAACATGACAGGGATAGATCCTGGCCTATCCATAAATGACGTCACTAAAGCCCTGGGGATGCAAAAGAAAAAAAAAAGCAGCCCCTGCCCTCAAGAAGCTTCCATTCTGCGATGGGCCCCTAGGGGGCGCCGCAGAGCACTGGGCCAGATTCAAACGCGAATGTCCTCACCTCTGCCTGCCCGGGCCGGAGCAGCTCCCCCTCCCCTCGCAGAAGGGGGTCACGTGGCCGCTGTCGCTGGGAGACGCCCCACACACCGGGAAGGCCCCGGCAGATAGATACAAAGTAACCTCCGAGGGGCGATCGTTTCCTCCGGGCGGCCTCAGTGCCCGCTACATTGGGACTCCCCGGAGGGCGGCAGGGAGCAGCAGCTTCCTGTGTGGACAGCTCCAGCCCCGCCGCTGGGAGAGGAGGCCAGGTGCTCTTCGCTGCGCGAGCCCAGCAGCAGCGCAGCTCTCCTTAGGACCCAGGAGAGCCTCCGAACCGAGCCTTCGGATGAGGAAGTTGGCCCGAGCACCGCGCAGAGGGGGCCGCTTTACCGGGGGCCGGACTCCCGGCATCCCCTCGGCAGCAGTTCGAACCGCGGTGCCGAGGTGGAGGGCCAGCGCACCGTCCTGGGCCCACGTGCCCCGTGGCAGGCTGGCGAAGGCTCTGGTGCTCTCTTCACAGTGCTATCTGCAGGCTTAAAATAACATACGTGGGATGACAAAGGAAATCGATGGCAGTAAAGAACAGTTATCAAAATTTTTGAAACAAATTCGTATCCCCCAGCTTGAGAACACCTTCCCTAAAGCCTAAGATCAGCGCCTTAGGCTGGGAACAAATTCGAACACACTCCCCAAACCCAGTCAAGGATTGGAGAAATGGAGCCGAGCAGTGTGTCCCTGGTGTTTGTACTGGATGTTTGGGGAAGGTTTTTTCAGGCACGTGGGTAAGTGGAGATGTGGGTAGGTGTCTTTAATACTACTAAAAAAAAATTACTGCCCACTTGAAAGGTTTTCTCATATTTGTCTTAGCTGAGAGGGTTACTGGAAGTCCGTAGAAAGAGTTCTCTATTCAACAGAACTGGGAAAACTGGAAAGCAATTAGAGATTGCAAAGTGTTCCCTTTTAGGCCAGGGTTAGGGAAGAATTCTTACCCAAACAAGGGAGAGAAGCCATCAAAAAAGAAAAAAACGTGCATTCGAAGGGCATAAAATTAAAAAGGTTTTTGCCACGCAGCTAGAATTTTAATCGTAGTCTCATGGGGGAAATGGAGACTTGGGGGAAGGGGTGGAGAATCAAACATCTTTTTTTAAACTTTATTTTAGTTTTCAATTCACTTCCATAAGATTTTGAGTTTTAAATTTTCTCTCCTTCCCATTAATCTCCCCCCTTCCCCTGACTGCATACACTCCAATATAGACTGTACATATACATTCATGTTAAGCATATTTTCCCATTAGTCGTGATGTAAAGAACAACTAGATCTAATGAGAGGAACCACAAGAATGAAGCATAAAACAAAACAACAAAGGAAAAGGAGAGCAAGTAGTCTGCTTCCATCTGCATTCAGACTCCAGAGTTCTTTCTCTGGGTGTGGATAGCACTTTCCATCATGAATCTTTTGGAATTGTCTTAGATCCTTGCATTGCTGAGAAGAGTCAAGTCTATCAAAGTCAGTCATCCCATAATGTGACTGTTACTATGTACAATGTTCTCCTGGTTCAGCTCAGTTCACTCTGCATCAGTTCATGTAAGTCTTTCCAGGTTTTTTTGAAGTCTGCCTGCTCATCATCTCTTATAGCACAATATTATTCCATTACATTCATGTACCACAACTTGTTCAGCCATTCCCCAATGGATGGGCATCCCCTCAATTTCCAATTCTTTGCCACCACAAAAAGAGCTGCTATAAATATTTTTGTACATGTGGGTCCTTTTCCCATTTGTATGATCTCTTTAGGATACAGACGTAGAAGTGGTAATGCTGGGTCAAAGGGTATGCACGATTTTATAGGCCTTCAGGCATAGTTCCAAATTGCTCTCCAAAATGATTGGATCAGTTCAAAATTCCACCAGCATTGTATTAGTGTTCAGATTTTCCTAATCTCCAGCATTTATCATCATCCTGTTTTGTCATGTTAGCCAATCTGATAGGTGTGATGTGCTACCTCAAAGTCATTTTGATTTGCATTTCTCTAATCAATAGTGATTTAGAGCATTTTTTCATATGGCTGTAGATGGCTTTAATTTCTTCATCTGAGAACTGCCTCTTCATATCCTTTGACCATTTATCAATTGGGGAATGACTTATATTCTTATAAATTTGACTTAGTTTTCTAATACTTTAGAAATGAGGCCTTCATCAGAGACATTGCAAACATCTTCAATAACAGTCTGGCATCCTAGATGTGTATGGTTTGACACCACAGTCGTCATAATGCTTAGAACTACCAAGTGCTTAGAATGTTTTGTTTATTAAGAATTACATATGAATGTACCAAGTGCTGTGCTAAAAATCCATCCATCTTATCTATTATAACCAAAGGCCCTCAACAGTCTGGCTCCGGGCCATCATTCCAGAGGCATTCCATAATTATCCCAGTGATATTACTACTGTTTCCTTGGTGCAGTACTCGATGCCTAGCTTTTGGCCTTTACCCAGGATTGGATTGTAAACTCCTTGAAGGCAGGGACTATCCTCTGCCTCTTTTTGCCTAACACACAGGAGGTGCCATCATGTCTGGAATGCTCTCACTTCTCACCTTTGCTCTCCATCCCCCTCCATGTTGTTCCTTATGGGAGAACTTTAATGATTTTTTTTTTTAGTGTTGCTGCCCCCCCCAAAAAAAAATAGCAGTTTGTATTTCCAGTGTATGTGTGCGGCATTTACTCTTCTGGCTACAGTTTTCTCCAGCAGAATGCAAACTCCTTGATGACAAGTATTGTTTCTTTTTTGTCTCTATAGCCCCAGACCCTAGCACAGGACCTGACCTCAGTTCAGGCTCAATGAATCTTGAATTGAATTCCTAAATCAATAGTGACCAAAAAGAGATGGAAAATACTACAAAGAAACCACAAAGTAAAACACCTCTACATGGTCCCTTTATACCAATCCACTTGGGAAGGATGAAAAATCACAGAAATAGCCAATGTTGAGGAGTTCACAGTACAACAAGTGAACTAATCCACTGCTGGTTGGACTTGGGATCTTGTCCAACCAGTCTACAGAAAAGTGATTCAACTATTCATAATGTCTGAGCCATCATTCCATATACCCCAAGGAAGCAGGTGATAGAAATAAAGAATGGGTAGATACTCAAATAGTCATAGTGGTGCTCATTAATAGCATCAAGGCATTGAAAAGAGGGTGCAAGTTGACTGGGGGAAAATAATAATAGCAATAACAGTAATGATGACAGTAGCTAACATATCATATCTACTATGTGCCAGACACTTCCATAAGCACTTTATGATTATCACTGGGATTTTAACTTGGATGCCTGACTCCAGGCTCAGCACTCGATCCACTGCTCTGCCTAACTACTTCCAGTAAGTGGGTAATGCTATGTTAATGTAGCAAAATGTTCATTGTAAGAAATGATGAATATGAGGAATTTGGAGAAACAACCATGGGAAGAATTACATGAAAAGAAGCAGAGTCAATAAAGCAGAACCAGGACTACCATATTCACCATGACTACAGGAATGTAAATGAAGGCAACACTGTCAGGCTTCAGATTTTAGTATCTACTATTGACTCCAGAAAACTGCTGGTGAAAAACCCTTCTTTCCTCCAAGTAGAGAGCTGGTGGATGGCATGTGGGTTATTGCACCAAGTATCAGCTGCAGTCATTATCAGTTCTGCTTAACTTGTCCTTCTTAATAAGAGAGAATTACATAACTGGGCAGAGGGGAGGGCTATTGGGGGTGACTGTGGTGTAAAAATAAAATATTAGAGAAGAACATAGAGCAGCTAATATGGTCCCATTCACATTCAAAGGGTAGTCAGGATACCTCAGTTACAGGGACTTGAGGTGCCTGGGGCACCGCAATGCTCGGGGTGCTGGACCCAGAGTCAGGAAAGACTAATTCCTTTTGAGACCTCAAGGGGGTGCCACTGTGCACACAGTTTGATGCCTGGAATCAGAAAGGATTAATTCCTTATGAGGCCTCTAGGGGACGCAGCAGTGTACAGAGCCTGGGGCCTGGAGTCAGAAAGGACTAATTCCTTATGAGGCCCCTAAGCAGTGCCACACTGGACCTGGAGTCAGAAAGACCCAAGTTCAAAAGCAGCTTAGATACTTTCTAGCTGGGTGACCTTTGGTAAGTCACTTAACCCTATTGCCTTAGTTTCCTCATGTGTAGAATGAGCTGTAAAAGGAAATAGCAAACCATTCCGGTATCTTTGCCAAGAAAACCTCAAATGGGGTCACAGAGTTAGACACAACTGAAACAACTGAAGAACAAAAAAAATGAGAGTATGACAGCGCCTACCTCTCAGGGTTGTTGTAAAGCACTTAGCACAGTGCCTGGCACATAGTAGGTGCT